CCCTTGTTGCTGCTTATTTAATGATTCAAAAAGCTGTATCGCATTTTGAGTTTGGACCTTGTCACTTCAGAAAGGCTTTGCAACTCAGTTGGACTCATTTGAAAATAGTTTGGAACACTGTTCAGAGCTGTATGGTTCAATCACTGATTTTGCTGACTAAATAACTACTATGGCTGGTGTGGGTCTTCCGGGCTGTGTGGCCGTGTTCTTGAAGTTTTGTTTTGAAGGAAACAAAACTTCAAGAACACGGCCACACAGTCCGGAAGACCCACACTAGCCATTGTATGCCGGCCGTGAAAGCCTTTGACAATGCATTAAATAACTACTGTCTCACATGTTGTAAACAGATCATAACTAGTTCAGGTTTTGTGGGTGGGGGAGTCTCCATCCCAAAGAAGAGCAGCTTGGCTCCATCTTGGATGATTTAAAAAGGACTTTGAACATGTCTGTATTCTTTCTTATTATTGGAAAAGCTTTTATGGTATTTGCTGTTGCTAAGTATTTGAAATTTTACTGTTTTATATTGGAAGCTATCTTGGCAGTATATCACTCTTGAAAACTGAGTAAGAAATATAATAAATAACAATTATTGTAACCAATAAAAGACATTTAAGGAAACATCTAGATGATAAGTGATACTGGTAGCTTTAGCTGTGTCAAAAGAGCTCCCTACATATAGAGGAGACGGACTTTTAATAAGAAATAGGGTTATTTCTTTTATTCCTGGTCCTTGGCTGTAATTAAGTATGATGATGGTGTAATTTGTTTGCAATTGTTTTAGGGTACACTCCTTTTTTTATAATAGCTTTATTAAATTTTAATTTTAGGGTACACTCCTGAACACATATCTAGAAGTATGTTGCAGTGAACTCAATAGACCTTAAATAGACATACTGTATACAGATCCATTATTGGGACTGTGAAATAAGGCCTTGCAACTTAAACATCTGCCCTAGTTTTTGACATTCTTCAGTCTATTCTTTCCTCTGTTTTGCAACATCTTGCCTGACTGAAAGTTGTGGGAAATTCAAATGGTCCATATACCTTTGAATGTTATGGCTTGGTCCTAATTAAGATATTGCTCAGTTATAGATTTATTTAAGGATAAATAACTTACAGGAAGAGAACTACCTGGCAATTAGAAGAGACACTGTTATATTAGATGGCACAGTAGTTTGATTTAATATAAAGGAGTTTCATTTTGTTTGGTATGTTCTTATCAGAATTATCTCTGCTGGGAAGGCTTATTTTGGACCAAAACATATACAGTGGTACCTCGGGATACGAACTTAATGCGTTCCGTGACTCTGGGCGTATCCTG